TTTTTTTTTTTGGTGGAACCAGGGATTAAACTCAGGCCCTTGCGCCTGCCAGGGAAGCACTTATTCCACTGAGCCATCTCCCCGGCCCCTCTTAATCTTTTTGAGACAAGGTTTCACTATGCAGTTCAAGCTGACCTTCAACTTACGCAATCCTCCTGCCTCAGCATCCTGAGTGCTGGGATTATACGCATATGCCACTATGCCCAGGAAATCTAAACATATTTGATACAGATTTTTAAAATGTTTTTATTTATGTGAAGGAGCAAATACAATGTTTTGCTCTGTGTCTTTGAATAAAAAAAGACTAAGGAAAATCTCAACTTTTCAATCAACATTCAAAATTTATATAGCTGGTTAAGATAATAAAAGAAAAAGCGATTACAAAACAAAGCAAAATAAAACACACAAAAAAAAACCTTGTTTAGGTGTTCCTTCCTCTTTTTTACTCTCCTCATCCTCTAAGGTGGGACTGTCCCGAGAAGAGCTGTCCTGCTGGCTTGAGTTTCTCAACAGTACAGGATCAATCTGTGCTTTCAGGAGTGCAAGAGTCTCAGCCAGCTCGTTTCGATTTCTAAACAAGGGAAAAACAAGATAACATAAGTATCTTTCTCCTATGAAGAATCTGTGATTAATACATTTTACAAATTAAAATTTCAAGAAAACTTTTTAATGTCCAGACTAATAATTAACCCTGAATTCTAAAAATAGGTACTAAAAAAGAGCATTCATTAAAACATACTATTCACCACAGAGAAGAGAACTCTTAAAGATTTGCAATGGCGAGGCAGATCTCCAGCTGAAAACAAAAGTACAAACTATATTAAATAAAATTCAGTTTGACCACTTTTAAAATTATAATGTCATCTGAAATAAGATTAAAAAACAACAACGTATAACTGGACTGAAGTATTTTTAACACAATAATCCAAGTTGTTTTTTGTGTGTGCTGGAAATCAAATTTACAAGCTCATGCTTGCTAGGCAGGCGCTGTGCCACTGAGCTAAATCCCTGCCTTAAGTTCTTGATTCTTTGGAAATAACTTTTCTATCTTTAGAAATGGCAGGAGTTGCTATTATTATAACAATGAATGGTTACAATAGTCAACTCTAATGACATAGCTTAAAAACATTAAATAAGAATTTAGTTCCTGATTTTGTCTTGTCAACTATAATTTATAATTACAACACAGGAATTCAGTTTGATTCAATAACAGAAGATTTTAATCCGTAAATACTTTAGTTTTACTAGAAAAACTGAAGATTTTAATTCTCACTTGGATTTTTTTTTTTCTGTTTCTATTTTTAAATTAGTAAACAACATGACTTCTTCCCCTCTTCTGTGTTCCCAAAGAGCTATTTAGGCATTAACCACATAAATATGATTAATGTCAAAAAGTGGCGCTGTTGGTTTTCTTTCCTGTCACATCACGTATGTTCCTACACTATTCCTTTCCAGATTCATGCTAGCTAGACTGCATAGGTTGAATGCAAGGTCACTTCTCTGATGAAATAGGTTCTAAAACACTATTTAATGAAGGAATGACATCATTGTTCCTAAACTAGATGTCAACATGCCCAGGGACAAGTGGTACAATGTTGAGTACCTCACACCTGAAACGCTTGGGATAAGAAATGTTCCTTCTGGCTTGCTAGTATATGCAGATTTGGGGGAGATATTTACATACACATAATGAGAAATACCGGAAATGAGACCCAAGTATAAACATATATTCATTTCTGAACCTAAATTCAGTAGGTTTCACATATGCCTTCACCACCCTGTATATGTCTTAGTTTACATGGTACCAGTAAACAATTTTCTCATACTTATTCCCATATATGTACTTGAAAAGAAAAATACATGACATGTTATTAACACAATGAAAAAAAATAGTGTTCAGAATCCTTGTGCCTGGCTGGGGAGATGGCTCAGTAGAATAAATGTTTCCCTGGCAAGTGCAAGGGCCTGAGTTCAATCCCCAGTTCCACCAAAAAAAAAAAAAAAAAAAGAATCCCTGTGCCAGCAGTTGAATAGCAACAGCAAGCAGCAGGCTCTCAATCTCCACCTATGGTGCAGTGCCCCCCCCCCAGTGCCCCCCCCCCCCGTACTGGGGATTGAACTCAGGACCTTGCACTTGCCAGGAAGGTGCTATGCCACTGAGCTATCTCCCTGGCCAGGTGCTGTATTCTGATTAAGAGGGTACTAACTCTTTGTCTTAAAAAGCACTTGAGTGAACAGGTAGTTAGTTGTCTAAGGATGAGGAGGCACTCTGCTTCAATGGCTGGTTAATACTTTCTATAGTCATCTACTTCATGAATAGTTTTGTCTTATAAGTCTCTTTCATTTTATAAACTGACATGATTTCTTGTTTTTTTACACATAGTACTCTAGACCAGTAAACACACTATAAAAAATTACTTGATGTCATTTATAGGAATCTCTTATGTAATGTTAGTAATATCAACTTCATTGTCACTATTTTCAGGATTGCCTTGAATCAAAAATAATTTGGTTATTTCCTCATTGATCAAAAAATGAACTATTTGCTCATTACTGATGTGAAAAAAAATTTGATGTTTCTTCCAGCTTACCGGAAGTTATATTCTTTCACATATGTAAGAAGGTAAGTGCGGGGCCTGCTTAGGCATGCTTATCACACTAGTGCTCTGGGAGACTGAGGCAGGAGGATGAAAAGTTGGGGCTCAGCTAACAGAGCTTAGAAACAGACTGTTACTTAATCCCATCCATCCATCCATCCATCCATGCACACAGGGCTGGAGAGAGGCCCTGGGTTAAATCTCCAATATGGAGAGGGTACTAAGAAGTATTTTTCACTTGACATGTGGAGTCCTTTAAAAAGTCATTAGTCTGATCATTATCATCACTAAAGCTAGTCTCAAGATAGAGGTTGTGCAAGGCAGGCACAATTGTGTCTTTAGCCACTGAGTTTCAAACATTCACAACAGCATACAGAAAGAATTAGACTATCCTAACTGGCCACACTGTGTTTCCCAGATGTGAGCGTGTTCTTTTATTTTTGGTTTTACTCTCTTTTTATTTTTACTCAGCCCAAGTTTGCTATACAAAGCCAGTTTCTCCCCACTCTTCACTTGTACTTTCTCAAATTCTGTTACTATTTTTACACACACACACACACACACACACACACACACACACACACACAGAGTAAAGCTCTTCAACAAATTTTTCGTATCCGTAACTAATGTTCTAGCAAGCTGTTCAAGATAATGCCATCCATCCATCCATCCATCCATCCACGCATTTATTATGGAACATTTAAACTACAGGACAAAAGTAAAAGGTTCTGTGAAAAATGAACGGTTAGGGGCCGGGGAGATAGCTCAGTAGAATAAGCGCTTGCCTGGCAAGCACAAGGGCCTGAGTTCAAACCCCGGTTCCACCAAAAACAAACAAACAAACAAACAAACAACGGTTAAACAAGTAGATTAGTGAAGCATATTGTATCTGAATATTGTCCTTTCCCTTTCTCCAAGAAAAATACCTTGAGACAATTCTTTCCCCAAACTGCTTTTTTTCTCTTACACTGTTATTACAAATAAAGCCCCACAACTGAAGAGACTCTCTGGGCTTCTGGGTGATGGAACTAAGTCTCATCTCCAAATCATCTTTCACTCTATGCCACCACGATTGCTCACTGGGACACTGACCTACAGTCCCATGACTGGCCACAGTCTAAGGAAAACACAAGGCATATACACTGTTTTTTAAATTTCAGCTGGACTACAAGCAGAAGTTCTTCAAGAACAACAAAATCATGCAATGGTCATCCCTTTCAGTTTTCCCACAGTAAGCATGACCTGCTGGTCCAAGTGTTTGTGAAACCAATCAGAAAGGATGTCCCTGGTGACTTGCCTTTGTTAGCATATAATGGGCTGGTAAGAAACTCATTTGTATAAAACAGGTGAACACAGCTTTGGCCAGCAACATGATGTTTGTGTTTCTGGGTGTCTGCACACTGCACGTCTCCTGAGCATGCTCCATGCTAGTTCCCAAAGGACTAGCTCACCGCTGTGGTCAGGGTCTTTCTAGGGCAACAAAGGCAACAGTGATATTTCACTGGCACTAATTTATTAGGCTTGTTCTGGTGTGGAGATTTTTATTAGTGATGACCTTAGTGAACTCATCAATGAGTTTCTGCTACTCCTTGATGAGCAAGTATTTTTATCACCACAAATACCTAAAAGTATGTCATGCTGCTTCTTAAATTTATGCAGCCAGCCTGCTGAATATTCACAATTCCATTCAGCTTTCAGTTCGTGAGATTTTTGCTTGTTTCCTGACTGCATGCCATTAAGAGGCATGTGTTCACTGTGATGCCAACAGATACACTTTCAACACAACTGAGCACTTCATTTTTAGCTGTATAAAAAGTGTTTTTCTATTTTTCATTAATTTCTGTGTATAACTGTCTGCACACTTCCACATGTAATCCTTTTGTTTCTTAGGTCATATATGGTTGTCATTTCAACACCATGCTCTTGGGAAGGATTTTTTTTAGGGGGGGCTGGTTCAGGCTGCCTTAAGGGTAGGTGTGGTGTGGCATGTGGAGTTGGGGCTCAAACTGCGGTCCCACAAGCCTGACTGGGTCTACCCAGGCAGGCGCTTACACAACTAAGCTACTAGCACACCCCCATAAAGCTGAGAGGGATTTTTTTTTCAACACCATGCTCTTGGAAGATGTTTTACTCTCATACCATGCTACATTTTCACCAAGAACTTGATCTTTTATACTACAGACACTCATAAATGCTGCTTCTTCTTTATGTCACTGATAATCACAAAGGTGTCTGAAGGACTTTTATCTTTCAATATCTTTAAGCCACGAGCAGAGAAAATTTTTTAAAAAACCAGTAACATATGCAGGTCTTGAGCTCATGTGGGACATTGTGGGCAACCTTCCAAAGGTATCCCTAGCATACCACGCAGACCTCTTTGTTATTCTTTTTAGTCCTATGAGGAGGAATCTGGGTGTATAGGGAAAAATATCACAATTGAAGGGGGCTATGTCATTTTTTCCCTAAGGGATGTGGAGTAAACTGTGTCTTACTCGTGTGTTTTAACTGCAAAACATCAAAGAAGATCAAAGGTGGAATTTTCCACTTGTGGCATCATGTTCGCACTCAAAAAATTTCAGATTTTGGAGCCTTTTTTAAAGTTTAGAACTTTGAATTAAGGAAGTTCTAACTGAATTTTCAATAGACCTCAGCCTCATCTGTAAGTCACGATTCTCTAAAGGATTATTAAATTGGTCTAAAGAAAACAACAAAAAGAATGCCAACGATGAATCCCTCAGACAATAACATGCCAACAAACTGTTGTACATGCATGTGATATGAGCAAACATAATAAAATGATCTAAAATTCTAATTACGTATTAGAAGAACATCAGATGAGATATTCTCTTTGCAAAGTTCTGCTCCGCTTCATACAAGGGACAATTAAAATCCAAACACTTGGAAAGAATTTACTTTTTGCTTTTGCCAGGGATGGTGGTTCACACCTATAATCCCAGTCCTTAGGAAGCTGAGG